GCAGGTAAGTTCTATACAATGGGTAGTGGCTTAGACAGCCCTCTTCTGAAATATATTCACACTACACCATTTCCGTGTTCGCATCAAGCGTACCCATAATCAAAAGCGCAAATGAAGCTGAGCCTACATTAACAATCAAAGAGTTCACTTACCCTCAGCGCCGACTGTCACCAGGAGGAGGCACACTGCTACGAAAGCGAAGAGCATCCTGATTGCAATGAATTCTCGCCGCTACTCATCCCTTTTATGCTGCTTTAGATTTTTATGCTAGGCGTTCCAGGTTTCCAATTGAAACCAGTAAAGACTTGCTTCAAATAGGGCCATTTCATTGTGTTCCTCGAATCTGTGAATACATCCGGGATCCACGTGTTTATTGTTCTCATTCTGCGATGTTTTCCCCGAAAATCGATGCCACTGCGTCGAATCGTTCGAGCATGGATTTGCCTAAAGTTTTTCTCTGTACCATACAAAGATCCTCCATTCAAGGCGACAATACGTGATATAGATATAGAATACAGACGTGATGAGCTCACTCCCCTTCAGGCACACTTGTTGCTTCCTACACTGAAACCGCTCCAGTGTAATGCCGTCCACAAATTCGCTTCGTTACACTGAGGTTCAACATCCCCTTGTGAGACAGGCTTCTGAACTGTGCTGCTTAAGAAATGGCAAGCTAATCGACGGAGCTACCTCGGCCGGACCCTTCCTTTACCATTCACAAATGAAGAAGTGAAAGCACTGATATATTAGGTTGTCCGGAAAGTTCTCAGCGTTTTGTGTTACTATTTTTTGTACATTCATTGCTGATTAAAAACTCATTCTCCCTTGCGTCTCAGTAGTACATCCTGAAGAGAATTTTTGCGCTACATCCTGAAGAGAATTTTTTGCGCTATCTGATGGTATAATTGCCGTTTCACCATTGCTTGATAAACCCCCTTTTCCCAAGACTTTTTGAAGCATGTCAAAAGAGCAACTTCGGACGATATTTTTCTTCAACTACAAATTGGGTCAATCCGCAGTCGAGACAGCTCGACAAATTAACCAGGTGTGGGGGCCCAATAGTGTTGGAGAAAGCACCGTGCGACAATGGTTCGACAAATTTCGTTCTGGAGATTTCAGCCTTGAAGATGAACCTCGTAGCGGTCGACCTAAAGCAATACCTGACGAGGATTTGAAGGCGTTTGTGGAGGCTGACCCATCCCAAACAGTTCGAGAGATTGCAGAAAAGCTAGGCGTTGGCAAATCCACTGTTGCGGATGGTCTGAAACGCATTGGGAAGGTGAAAAAACTCGACAAGTGGGTGCCCCACAATTTGAGTGACCGGCAGAAATTGGCACGTCTCGAGGTTTCTTCTTCACTGCTTTTGCGCAACAGAAACGACCCGTTTTGGACCGAATTGTCACCTGTGATGAAAAGTGGATCATGTATGATAACAGGAGACGTTCCGGACAGTGGTTGGATGCCGACGAACCACCGAGGCAATTTCCAAAGCCGAATCCTCACGAAAAAAGATTATGGTCACAGTGTGGTGGTCATCGGCTGGTGTGATCCACTATAACTTTTTGTCACCAGGCCAAACCATCACAGCAGAGTCCTACTGTGAAGAAATCGACGAAATGTACCGAAAATTGCGTCAGCTGCAGCCAGCACTTGTCAACAGAAAGGGTCCGATTCTTTTGCATGACAACGCCCGCCCACACGTTTCACAAATCACTATCCATAAATTGAACGAATTGGGGGTTGAAGTTCTACCTCACCGCCATATTCTCCAGACCTTTCACCAACCGACTATCACCTTTCAGCCTTTAAGGGTACACAAAGAATACAGTTATAACGTTTCCGCCGTTGAGCGATCCTTCATGGGATGCGGCACGCATTCGAATTCCATTCGGAAAGGTAGTGGCTCATCGAATAAGATGTGGCCTATACAATGACTTGCGGGGTGGGGGGGGAAGAGCCAATGTACATGTCAGTTCTTCTTCTTCTCCTCCCAAACCAATCTTCTTCCAATGAACAGTCCCCGAAGAGCAGGACGATTGGCTGCCCTGGGCGGGAGTCGACCCCGGATTTGAAGCGAGGACCACGCGAATCGTAAGCGCGCCACCTGCTAGAGGACATAACTCCAGAGAAAGAACAAAGAGGGCAAAACGATTTCGGAGTAAGAAGTGGAAGATCTCCGCTCCAAGATACCACTAATCCGTTCAGAGATCCACTATTCAAAACAAACTACCTGAAATTTTGAGGGGATTGTGGATCTACTTTTCTCACGTTTCTTTAACTTCCAATGCAGTTTCAGTGTCACTTGGGAAATGAATAACGTAACAGCTTGCTTCGACTATTGATTCTTGATTGGTTCAACGCCATCTACTCCTTCAACTCACACTTTTCAGCGTTTTCTTTTCCGGGTTGATCTGCGCTCATCTTTACGGCAGCCACATTGGTTCATCTGCAGAAGCTTAAACGCCATTTACGAACATTCGCTAAGCTCAGGAAACAGAAACCAGAAACCATCACCAAGCAAACCGTTTAGGTCCCGAATGATCACTATGAAGTGGATTATCTGTTACCTAAATTCCCACAATTTGTTGTGAGGCCTAACAAGTCGTGCAGCGCCATCGGAAAAGTAGGGCAAAAACCTAGGAATATTGGGTACCACACCGTGCCTCACATCCATGAAGAATTGGAACATAAAGCTGAAACAGCTACTACTCTCACTAGGGAAGGTAGCCACGCCGAAGTAGCCCTTTAATGAGACGTAGCTCGCGGGACGTGGTTCTGGACGCTGATCTCCAATGTGCCTTAAATAGCAGTACGCTTCCTGAACGGAGTTATTGTGCTTTTTTCCCGCGTCTACACGCAACCCAGAAATTCTTCTACATCTAGACATGTCAGATTCAAGTTTTCAAGAAAGCATAATGAACTGCAATTGTTGTCCTCAAGGATGATACGATTTTCGACAGAGCTCAACGACTATAACCGTAAAATAGCGCACTCCAATACCGACACGCGACGGAGCTGAAGATGCCCTTGCACTGTTTTCTTTCGAGGGTTGAATGGCTATCTCAGTCTTGTTTTGATTTAGTTGAAAAGAAGGTGTACCGTACTGACATCCCTAGGGGGTGATGGGATTGTCGTTCTGGCAGTCCGGTTTTCTTGGACGCTGTGCTTGACTTTGAACACTTGGGATTCACCAGCTCTTCTTGCTCAAAATGAACATATTATATCAGTGCTTTCACTTCTTCATTTGTGAAAGGTAAAGGAAGGGTCCGGCCGAGGTAGCTCTGTCAATTAGCTTGCCATTTCTTAGCAGCACAGTTCAGAAGCCTGTCTCACAAGGGGATGTTGAACCTCAGTGTAACGAAGCGAATTTGTGGACGGCATTACACTGGAGCGGTTTCAGTGTAGGAAGCAACAAGTGTGCCGGAGTGAGCTCATCACGTCGTATTCTATATCTATATCACGTACTGTCGACTTGAATGAGGATCTTACATTAGTATAGTGCAGATCAGAAAAAGCTCAGGCAAATCCATGTTCGAACGATTCGACGCAGTGGCATCGATTTTCGGGGAAAACATCGCAGAATGAGAACAATGAACACGTGGATCCCGGATGTATTCACAGATTCGAGGAACACAATGAAAGGCCCTATTCGAAGCAATCTTTACTGGTTTCAATCGGAAACCTGGAACGCCTAGCATAAAAATCTAAAGCAGCATAAAAGGGATGAGTAGCGGCGAGAATTCATTGCAATCAGGATGCTCTTCGCTTTCGTAGCAGTGTGCCTCCTCCTGGTGACAGTCGGCGCTGAGGGTAAGTGAACTCTTTGATTGTTAATGTAGGCTCAGCTTCATTTGCGCTTTTGATTATGGGTACGCTTGATGCGAACACGGAAATGGTGTAGTGTGAATATATTTCAGAAGAGGGCTGTCTAAGCCACTACCCATTGTATAGAACTTACCTGCAGTTCAATCGAAGAATGAATACCAATCTGGTGAGTGTTTCCCAAGATCTCTTTGACCATATATCGTTCAACCATTCATTTACGAATACGATGAATGGTACGAATCATTCATTTGCTATGTTGCACCAGTAATTGGTAATTGGGGTGTACAACATTCAACAGTATTTGATCTGGAAATTAATTATGTGGTGTATCCAAGAAAGGTACCCTGTGCGCCCAAATTTTCATACTTTCGAAATAGTCTGCGTTCTTTGGCACAATGAAAAATATAAGTCTGCGTTCTTTGGCATAATGAAAAATAATTTATTTGTTCCAAGGATTGGGACGTGACACTTGCGAATGAGGCCTGTCTCATGCTGAAGGGTGAGGATCTAGATTTCACTCCGGAATTCACACTCAAGCTACAAAGGTTAGTACAAGCTCGCTCGAGAACACTTTTCCTATATTCTCGAGAAGCAATGATGTTTGTTAAGGGACTACAAGTCAAGAAAATGTACCACATGTGAGAAAAGTGAACAATATACTCATGGGATTCAGAAATGAGGCTCAAAGGAACTTGGTGAGTATAGACAACACTTTTTCCAAGACTGATGGTTGCAGGTATAGGTTGATAGGTAGCTCCAGTGCGGAGGCCATCCGAAGCGTTGACAAAGTTCAAAACAGGGAACAAATTTTTCATAGATGCCGTGCAGTAGGGGAAAATTTCGTGCAGCAAAACATGAGAAATTGTGAACCTTTCTCTGTGGTGATCCGTGCTTTGACTTCGCCCTAACCCTGTATCTGTATCGATTCTGTTCAGATTTCGAACCTTCCTCCACACACGAAGGTTGGATGCGACAGCTTCTACAAAGGAACCGTCATGACAGTCGCTTGTCTCTATGAGAAGCGTTTGGATTGAGTTGACTGACTGTTTGCATGCATAATCTGCGTGTTAAAAACTGATCGCATAAAGTTCTTCCTAAGCCAGTCGTCTCAAATGATTGTGAACTTCTGGATTTGAAAAATTCTCAGGGTCAGGGCGCCCCACACTGGAGAGGAGTTTTCAGCAGTTCATGCTCGAGCTTTGAAAATCACTGAACAAAATCGTATTTTGGGTCGTAGTTCCTCTGTGCCTTGGCCCAATTGTGACATGTGCATCAAAAATATTGAGCACATTCATATTACCGAGTTTGGATGAATTTCGGCCTTGGAGACATGATAATTCAGTATGTTTTCATAATCTACCGGGATTGCTACTTATGCTTCACTGTGCTGACGTTTCGACCATTATCGCCCTTTTGGGGGAACGAATATCTTATTGTTGAATACCGCGTTAAAAGGAAATCTTGCTCAGAAACCTTGCTCGGTACGGCATTTTGGACAAATGGATTTTGCGCGTCAACGGAACGTGAACACAGGGCACGCCATCGTTGTGATCATCACAACAGGGGGTCGTATTTGACCTCGAGGGAGGGGGGTCGTAAGCGCGGGGACCTTTCTGAAGTGAGGGTGCAGCGATACCCAGATGTCGTTCAGCTTCAATGATGAAAGACTTATCCATGTGAAGAACCCCTGAAGAGACCCACACAAGACAGAAGCAACCTGCCAGCGCAGAAGTGGGGAACGGGCGATGACAGGAAATACGATGGCCGCTCACGACGTCACGAATTGAATAAAAAAGATAAAGGATGAAGTCTCCGCCGAATCCTTTGTGGGATGCGGCACGCATTCTACTTCCATTCAGAATCGTAGTGGCTTATTGAATGCGATGTGGCCTATACAATGACTTGCGGTGGCCAGCCGATGTACAAGTCAGTGTTTTATCCTCCCAGACGAATCTGGTACCAATTTACCGTCCCCGGAGGGTAGAAGGCTTGGTTGGCCTAGGCGAAAGTCGACCCGGGATTTGAACCCGGCATCGCGCGAGTGGTAAGCGCGCCACTTGTCACTACACCACCTCCGCGCCAATGAATATCCGCCATGAATTAATAAACAGATGAAAATACACTTGCGAACTTTTTCACATCTACTTGGAGGAAACCCTTTCTAGAAGTTGCACCTTCCCAATAGCTCTGCGTGAAAGCGCTATGCATGGCGCATTGCAGAGGTGATGCCAATTGGCGCCCAATGAACTATTTCCTGATATCCTTGGCAAAAACATGCGTTTTAGAAGCATACCAAAGTCTTTAAACCAACTGGAGGTTTTATGGCGTCGGAGGGTTGATTTTTCGTGTCGTGGGGCAGTGATCACGCTGTGATCACAAGGGGGATTTTTCGAATAGCAGGCCTAGATATAAAAAGAAAGTATTGACGGAAAGTAGAAAGCTCCGTGATCCTGGCACTGTTTTTCTTTTTACGAAAGGCGCTGTATGAAGCTTGCCATGGATGTTCAAAGCGTAGCCACTTGTGGTTTACCCCCCCCCCCATGATCACAAGAGGATCACAACGGAGAAAATTTCTTAAAAAGGATATGTTTTCCTGCTTCCCCTCTCCGAAAGCTCTACTCTCAAATAAGTTATGGGTGTTCAAGTGAGGGGTACTTTTCGAGTGTTTGGCTTGAAACTGGCTCCGGGTCGTAAAATAGCTCGCTCCAATTCCTTGATATTAGCGCTCTCCTCTGCACCACCGCGAAAAGCTAATATTCGAAACGCTAATCCATATTTCTGGCTTCTAGAATTTGCGATCGATAACTACGAATGGACAGGCGCACAACGTCTTCGCAATCATTTTCCCCCTTACAGCTATTTTCACTAGTTTTATTCATTTTATCTCAGTTCTGAGTTTTTTTATAGCATCACATATACGCCCGCTATAGAACTCATGTTCTTTGCTGTGTCGCAGGGGGGGGTACTCGCGCATTAAACCTTGGTGACTTACATTATTACTTCTCGCAAATGAGGTTTTTTAGAGGAATCGCTTCTCACCCTGACGTTTCGAGTTCTTCTCGTCGTCGACTGCGCGAGATACCCTGCGCCTTTTGTCAGTATAGCTTGAAGTAAAGATCCAATCGGACATTATATACAGTCCTCATCATTGCAGACCGGTGGGGGGTGAGCCGCTGCGTGTGACTCGGCTGTGACGCGGCAGCGATGACAGTCGCGTCACAGCCGAGTCACACGCGGCGCGGCTCACCCGCCCCACCGGTCTGCAATGATGAGCACCATAACCCTAAAGAAGGAAAAAGTGAAAGATTGGTTCTTCAGAAGAAGAAAGAACTTTACTGAAGGCATCTCGAGCTTTCCAGAAGTCGGGTAGACACTGTTGATTTCTGCTTCCGTGAGTGACTTTTAGAACGAGAAAATTTCGTGAGAAACATTTTCGTCCCGGTGCTATATTTTATGCAGGTGCATTAATTTGCTTTTGGAATTGTGAGTTGTGTCTTTGGTGTTTAACCAATGAAAGTACTCGCACGTGTAAGATTTATTACGACGTGTTCGTACCGAACCGTATGACCGACATAAATACACTAAAAAGTAGGCTTATATACAGGCGAATGTGGTGCTCAGGTATCGTACCGATGGCGGTCCTTAAAATAAGAGTTGCTTATCTTCGGAGTGCAATTGAGTTGGCTAATATGTTATCATTCACTCTGATAGGCTGACTCTATAATATACTACTTGAAGGGTTGTGAATCCACAACACTGGGGCGGGGGCGAAATGAGCGGTAGCTCAGTATGATAATTCGAAAGAATAAATAACATAACATCATGACGAAGTCAAATGCTGAAATCACAGTCTAACTCTTCATCGGCTGAAAACCCGACTGAAGAGTTAGACGTAGCAGATGATTCCCTTCGTCCTCGTTTGTTACGTTGACATCTGTAGGTCACTGCCAGAATAGTTGCACCAGTCGTTGCTTCTGTGACGTTTCGTAATCGTGGCAGTGTCATAGGTAATCTTTGGCGGGATGTTGATGGAGGAGTGATCAGACATCACTCCACATTGTTTCCTGGTAGTACACGTCTGCTTCGTTTCTTTTCGACGTTTCCTTCGTAATGGTGGACTCTTCCTCTTCGTAGGGCGAGGATGTGCATTACACAGGTCCGAAATGGCTTCGAGGTTGGACTTCTCTTCAACTTGTCCGCGATTGCCGCACTCGGCATAGCAACGAAATGAGAGACGAGCCCGCCTTCACTATGGCTCTTTGGATCCTGCTTGTTCCAGAAATCGTGTAGCCGAATATCGTTGGAGTTAAAATAAGTCCCGATGGAAGGACCATGGCAGGATTGTCATAGCAGATGACTTGGTGAAGCAAATCCTGTCCTATTCGATGGAGATTTTGTGCTTCTTGATGAACTGCTTATCGGAGTGTGATAGCTCAGCTGTCCATGTCGGACTTCTTTAGAGTCACTCTTACTTCGTCCGAAACGAAGGTTTCTCGTAGTTCTCCCATTCCTATGGTAGTGAATGTTGTGGAGCTCAGTGTGGGCAGCTGTAGTTGATCTGCGGATTCCGTTTTTATGAAACTCATCTGGGCTCCTGAGTCGAGAAGAA